GGTTCATAGGTTTGGAGCCTACCAGTTAGATAATGCCAGATGAATTTATCTAAATTCCAGCAGCCATATTTGGAGCTTTAGATATTTGATGTTATTCTAAAAATTCTTAATGTCCACTCGGTTATAACTCATTTTGTAAAAGCTCTGTGTTGTTACCATTGTTCTTTTCACTGATTAATGGTTGATTTTAAAGTTAAAGGGCATTTAATTTTCTTGTCTGTATGTGTAAGTTTTAAGTAAACACTAGTCAATTTCTATTAAAATTGTGTATTTTAAGTTATTTTCCCCAAAAGCTTATGCTTAAGGTGCATTAAAAACAACTAGCAATTTAATTTATTATGAACATGTTGTTGTTCATTTTAGAATCTTAAACTGAGAAAATTCAAGAGATCATTTTACTCTTTTTCTGAGCTTCTGCAGGTTTTTACCTTAAAACTACTGTGAAAAAAAAGTGGTATCTATTTTATTGTGTAAGTTCTCCTGGGAAGTAGATCAGATCAGAGTTTCTACTTTCAGTAGAGCTATGATTAAAATACATCTTTTGTTCTTAAAAGACTTATCCTCTTTCAAAACATCAGAAAAAATTCTACTGTACAGTTTTATCTTTGCAGTGACTTGTGAATTAGGCACTTTCTCCTATAGTCTTATGTAGATAGTTACAGGATATATTATTGCTTTATGGAGCCAAGTTAAAGTTTCCCAGATCTCTGTATATTTTGGTACAGTTTCATTTCTGTGATCATGTATGATTTGGATAATGCTTTCTTTTATACTGTATTGAGGATATGTTTATTGCAACAACATACAAAATTTCAGGAGACAGCATCTTAGTGATGGAGAAGGTCTAGGAGCCTGTTGAGGTCTAATTCCCACTATAGACAGGCACCTGTATTTGCTTTCTTCCTCTTTGTAAAAATTCAAATCCGACCTATCACTTCCCTTCTTACAATCCTGTAATGCTTCCCACCTAGGTCTGTAGAACCGAGGCCCTGGGCCTTAGGTGGACAGCGTGCTGCTGTCCACCTTCCCGGCCTCCCTTGCTGATGTTCTGCATTGCCAAGGGAGGGAATATATTCCAAGAGAAAGAGTCTGGTTTTGGAGCCAGGAAGACTTAGGTTAAGATCCTGCCTTCATTCATCACCTCTTGCTCTGAACTTGTACAGATGATTTAACATTTCTGAGCCTCCCTTTCCTCCTCGGAGGAATGCAAATTCTTGTCTCACAAAGTTGTAATAAGCATTAAATGGAAAAGATGTGTATAGTGCCCACCAGAGGTCTTCTTAAGTTTAACTAAACTTGCAGACTCACAACACCACCACAGGCTACATGTCTTGCCACTAGGGCAGCATCAGGAGTTCCTCTCAGCAGGGGTCCTGCAGCAATTCAAACAAGTGTCTGCTCATATACCTGTATGGGGACTGTAGACTCCCTGTGTGACGTGGTTCTAGGTACAAAGCTCAAGGTTCTCATCAGGCAGGTGCCGGAGCTACCCTGAAAAGAAGCCTTATGCCCCAAGCAGCTGTTATCTTCTGTAGCAATTCTTTGGCATAGTTCCCCACAAAGAACTGCATTTGAGGAAGTCCAAAGCATGGCATACTCATATTTTTACAGCTCATTCATATTTTCTCCCAGTCCAGATACAACTTGCCAGTCAGGGATCATTTTTGCCATAAGCAATGTTGCCTAGCAATATAATTGACGCCTGCCATCTACTTGGTTTCCAAAGTAACAGAGCTAAGTGGTTAAACCAAAGGTCAGATTCTCAAGAAGCAAAGGAAATGATTTGTTAACCCTTTCATCTCAGTTTGCAACAGACCCAGCCAGGAGCCTTGCATATTAAAATCATCAAAATATGCTTGTTCATTTCTTTAACAAATATTTACGAGTTTACACTATGAGTCAGGCACTGTGCCTGACACTAGAAATACAGTGATAAGTTAAACAGACATGGTGCCTCCTTCATATTGTTTTCTCCACCCAGTGATGCCCTTACTTTCTTCCATTGCCTAGAGAACTCCTATTTGTCCTTCAGAGGTCAGCTCAGGTGTTCCCTCTTCTCTGAAGTCCATGTATACTCTACTCCCTTAGCACTTTATATATTGCCCTGAGTTCACGGATTGGTTTTGGAATCCATGAATGAATTCCCTAAAGTTCTACCTTAATTTTGTGTTTTGTGTGTGTGTGTGTGTGTGTGGGGGGGGGGGGTGTATGTTTAAAGGAGCTGTAAAGCTTTCATCAAATTTTCAAAGGAGGCTAAGCTGTTCCCTCCCTCTCCATCCCACAAGAATTTAGAACCACTACACTGTTGTAAACATGTATCATATTATGATTTTACTGTTTGTTTATAGGTCTGTATCTTCTACTAGAATATAAGTACCTTGAGAGAAGAGACCGTATGCATTAATTTTTTTGTCAGCAGAATGCCTGATTCATAGTAGACATTCAGAAAATATATATTGAAAGAATCGCTTCTTAATATTTTTAATAGGCTCAGCAGCTTGAATAATGCTAGTGGTGCATCATTTCCTAATTGGAAAGGGGACATTTTCCCTTATGTTAAACTAAAATCAGCCTTTCTTGTTCTCTGGAGTTCTAAATTAAATGTCTTCCATGTTGTAATTGCCCTTTTATGAGACTCATGGTTGGTTGGGGAATCAAAGAAAAAGGGAAATGATTTAAAAAATGATACATTTGCATCTTAAATGTTTTAATTTAAAACATGCAAATGTACATTAATATACTAGTATTTTATTATGGAACCAACATCTTTCTGTTGAATATGGCTCCATTGTTGTGTAGCTTTTTTCATTTAAGCCATCCAAAATTTTTCATCTACAATTTCCAATTTGGGTTTTTTTAAAGTGAAATGAAAAGTTAGACAGTGTTGAAGCAATCTGATACCCAGAATTCTTCTGGATTTTAACTTTTTCTTTCTCTCCCCAGTGTTCTCCAGTTATATCTCACACATCCCACCAGTGACTTTCTTTACAACTGGCTTTCATGTAGTCTGAAATCTTTGGTTTTCAGAGAAATAGCAACAACACATATTTCTTTGGATTGCATACTATTTAGTTAAATTATGTCACTTACATAGCATGTGTAAGTGGCATAAACAGGTCTGTGATCAAACACAATTGACTCTTAGCAAGCTCATCGCTCAACACACAGGAGCCGTAGAGTCAGGGTGCTTTAAGCATTCACAGTGCCCATAGACATTAGAAAGAACTTGAGCATGTTTCTCTTCTCAGTGTTTCTTAGGATAAATTATTTTGAAATTTTTTTATTATCCTGCTCTCATTTCTTCTCCCCTTAGACTACTGATCTTCCTAAGTTAGAGTAGAATGGAAGTAAACCATCTTTGGTTTTCCTCCTGGTAAAGTCTCAGGTGTCCTTCGTTGTCCAGAAGATAAATGAAACCATTAAAAACAAAACAAAACTAGTAGCTAATATGAGGGACTACTTAATTATAAGGATGTTCTAAGTATAAAAAATAATGGTAGAGTAGAGCTTATTTTCTCTCCCCTGGACTTGATGACTCACTCCAAGGAATAGAGTGTGCAAAGGTAGAAATAGCTTTATTTGTGGAGAAACCTAGCAGATACCTCCTTGACCAAGTGATCAACCACATCACTAATGATAAGTCATGTTAATAGGGTGCATCCTCTGATATGATGTGATGAGAAGGGCACTTCTGTGATATGCTTCCCCCAAACCCATAACCCCAATCTAATCTTGAGAAAATATCAAACAAACTCAAATTGAGGGAGAGTCTACAAAATAACTGACCAGTACTCTTAAAAAATCTCAAGATCATGAAAAATAACAGAAGACTGATCAGAGAAGACTAGGGCAACATGATGACGAAATGCAATGTGTCGTCATGAACTGGATCCTGGAACAGAAAAAGAGCACATTAGTGGGAAAACTAGGGAAATCTAGATAAGTTTTGACAAATCTTGCATGGTTATATAAGATGTTAACATTGGGGAGAGCTGGCTGAAATGTATATAAGGTCTGTACTTACTTTATACCTTTTCGTAAATCTAAAATTACTCCAAAGCAAAAAAGTTATAATAATAGTAGTGGGAGAAATCATAAAAGAAAGGCTTAGGTGATTTGAAATTCAAAACATGTAAACCAAATTAAAGGGCAGTAACACACACACACACACAAAAATTGTCACTGATGATAAAGGACTGATATTCTTAATATAGAATATACTTACAAATTAATAAGATATACTAATACCTCATTGGGAAATAACCATTGATCACAATTCACAGAAGAAACACAGCAATCAAGAAATATAAAAGCCAATTCAATCACACCAGTAATTAAATAATTGTCAATTAAAACAGTATTGGAGCCCTGGCCGGTATGGCTCAGTTGGTTGGAGTGTCGTCCTGTACACCGAAAGGTAGTGGGTTTGATCTCTCATATCGATGTTTCTCTCTCATTTGTACTTGTAACCTCACATAAGATTATTTTCCCAAGTAAATAATCTGATATGTACATAAATTTTCTAATAAGAATGTTTATCACAAGGTTAATAATGAGAAGCTCAAAACCTACATATCTAACAATGAGGGAATGATCTAAGAAGTTTTGGCATTCCTATGGAATAGAATGGAGTCATTAAGAATCATGATATACCTAAATAAAACAAAGCAACATACAATTTGTGTACATCCTCTAATCTCAGACTTTACATGCATGTGCACAACTTGCTTGCAAGGATGACAAGGAAATATACTATCATGCACAAAGCAGTGACTTGTCCTTGGGTGGTAAGGAAAGGTTGATTTTTGTTTTCTTTCAATCCCTCTGTCTTTTCAAAATTGTCTGTAGTGAGCCTATATACTTGTGTAATCTAGAGGGAAATAAACACTGCAGGTAATGTGATTAATGAGGGTTTTTTGCATTGTTCATGCTGATTTAATTAAGAAAATGTCACATGTCTATTTTGTTCTGTAAAAAATAGTTTCTCCTCTTTCCACTAGGAAGCTCCTCAGGGTGCTCCCGTTGCCGGCCGAGAACTGGGGAGCTCTAGTTGGAGAATGGTGTTGTCATCCAGACCCCTTCGCTAATAAGCCACTTCATCCGCGAGAGAATGACTGTTTTATTGGAGACTCGTTCTTCTTGGTGAATTTAAGAAGTGATATGTGGCAGCCAGGACCTCGAGTAGCTCCAGTGGAGACACACTGTCTTTCTTCCGAGAACCATTTTAAATTGGTAAAGTACCTTGTCAGAATAGATGCTAATTTAGAGGTTGGCTTAGAAACTGGTTTATCCAGTCTTTTCTTAATTCAGGGCACGTGACACAGACTGTTGACCTCCACCTTCACTTGCCTCTATTCTCTTGCTCTGCACTATTGATGTAGGAAGAGCATATGGCCTTTAAGGAAAACAGCCCACAGTGGCTGAAGGCAGAAGGGGAAAAGGACTTCTTCATGTATAGAATTGGGAATGTTACCACTGTACATACCAAAATGCCCTACTTTCTTGTTTTTAGTACAATATTCCATAATCCATTTATCCTCATAGTCTGATTTAAATGAAAATTGTTGTCTTGCTCCAGAATAGTACCTACAGTTAGACCCATAGTCTAGACTTTTGCTAATGTCATAAAAGCAGATGCCATCAAGGAAAAAAGAAATGGAGGAGCTCAGCGTGGAAATGAAACTAGTGCCACAGGCTCTACAGGTGGTTGACCACATGAGGTCAGGTGGCTCTTGCTGTCTAACTTGCTTTAGGGAGAAGGCCATTTCCTCTCTCTGCAAAGAGCAAGTGTTTACCTTATTGTAAAAGAAAATCAATGGCATTGACTTGGCCCTTGTGAGAAATCATTCTCCTGATGGCAAGTCAATACAGATGTGATTTAAAAAGTAAAGAAAATCATTGCCCAAGAAATTTCATTTTAATATCTGATTATTGGTAGGAACAAAAGCAATGCATGCTAAATTTCATTTAGAGCTCATTTAATTTTTGTAATGAGAACTGAGCCACTTCAGAAAATGTGCTGCAGTTGGGCAGCTCATACGTTGTAAGTTAGTGTATAGAACTATTTTCTGTTTTGAGGGAGATTAAGGACATTCATCAGATAACGAGGTTAAGTTGTTATAATTATTTATGTGCCTCATCTCCTCATAAACACAAACCCTTTTACCTAAATATGGTTCATTTTAAATTATAGTACATTAGCCTTCTGTAATTTTAAAAGATAATGGTGCCCTGGCTGATTTGTCTCAGTGGTTAGAGCATCGGCTTGCGGACCAAAGAGTCGCAGGTTCAATTCTGGTCAAGGGCATGTAAACTTGGTTGCAGTTCGTCCCTGGCCTTGCTTGGGGCCGTGCAGGAGGCAACCAGTCCATGTGTCTCTCTCACATCGATGTTTCTCTCTCCCTCTCCCACTCTATCTGAAGAAAAAAGGAAAAAATATCCTCGGGTGAGGATTAAAAAAAAAGATAAATGGTAAGAAGTTAATTTAAATATATTATGTTTAATATGGTTTTATTAAAATTATATTTTATTCTAAATTTATATACTATTATATACTAATTCTATACTGTTTCATGTATTTTAACTTTCATTTTTATGATTACGCTATACATTTAAAAAACTATTTAGAGGGCATGAGTGGAGGAGGAGTAGAGAAGGATGAAGAGAAACCATGAATTTCAGTTTTTAAATAAATTCCGCACTCTATATTGAAATATATTTTTCACATTTGTGTCTTTATTAATTACAGGTTGTGCCATTTACAAGAATTTCTCTTAATTGAGAACAACTATCCTATTTGTTAAAAGATTCCTATTCAGCCACTATAGTGTTTATTATCAAGGAGACTGGGAAATCACTATCATGACAAGCTGCTGTTGACAAGATTGTTTTCAGGTTTGCCTAGATGGAAGTTTCACTTTAATTGCATATTGCATTGGTGGAAAGAGCATGCCAGTGACCAAAATAGTAACACAAATTTGGAGGGACTGCTTAAACAGTGCTCTCAAGGCTCCTGTGGGAGCAAGGCTGCTCTGTGCTATTGGAAATCTATTTCTCATATCACCAGTCTAGCCATCCAGCAGGGTTTTGAAATGTCACATGTTGACACAGCATCTTAATGGTATCTCTTGGGAAACATTTTTTTGGCGAGACAATATCAAGGATCCTTAGAAATTGAAACATCACAAAGGAAAATAAAAAGGAGGACAGGAGGCTAATCCGCCCCTGAGCAGCCGTGCCCTGTCTCAGATATATTGATTTAATTAGTCACAACAATGTCTTTCATGTTTGCTCTGTAGAGTTCCCACATTGTTAGGCTATTTCATTGCACGACTTGCTTTAGGCTTTCCTTTAGGCACAGGTTAAAAAAAGGTATTACAAAGCAGAGTTTCTCTTTAAATAAAATTAGAAGTGTTATAATATTTTATTTTATTTTTTATCATTATTATTTTTTAAATTTCTCACCTGAGGATATTTTTCTGTTTATCTTCAGTTTGGGTTAGGGGAGAGAAACATCGATGTGAGAGAGACACATCGACTGGTTGCCTCCGACACGACCCCAACCAGGGCCTGGGACTGAACTGCAACTGAGGTACATGCCCTTGACCGTAATTGAACTTGAGACTCTTTGGTCCACGGGCTGATGATCTAACCACTGAGCAAAACCAGCCAGGGTGAAGTGTGATAATATTTTAATTAAAAAGATGCAATTTTAAAACAGCACAAACACATAAAGTCTATCACATTTCTTTCCTTCAGTAGCCCCATAGAGTATACAGTATGTTATCTGTGCTTCTGTTAATGTGGCAGTGACACATACCTTTTGCTTTCAAAAGATACCTGCTAAAGATTTCTCTGTTTTTCCAGTTGTATGTTATCTCTTGTGTATTTTTTTCATGTCTACCAACATAGAAGCTTCACATCTTTTAAAAAAAAATTTTTTTAAATTGATTTTAGAAAGGGAAGTGAGTGAGAGAGAGAGAGAAACATCAATGAGAGAGAACAACTGGCTGTCTCCTGCATGCCCCCCACTGGGGATCAGGCCCACAACCTGGGCATGTGCCCTGACTGGGAATTGAACCAGCAACCTTTTGGTGCATGGATTGACGCTCAACCAGTTAGCCACACCGGTCAGACAAAGCTTTACATCTTTTAATAGGGTGATAAGGACAGCACCTCAACCTTTTATAAGATTCATAAAATTATTGTTGAAAGTATAGCTACATTTATGACTTCATCCAATTTTTTGAAAAAACAAACAAAATTGAACTTCTATATTATAGCTGGCAAATGTGACGATCAGATTTACCTTTTTTTCCTTTCCTGAGGTGCTTAGCAATAACTTATTGATTTTGGTAATTTGTGTTGTTAAACCCATAAACTTTTTTATTTTCTTAGAATAATGTGTTAGACTTTGTAAACATTCACAAATGTAAACAGAATAGAATTATAAACTTCAGTATACCAATTATTATTATTATTATTATTTTTTATCCTCATCCGAGGACACTTTTCCATTTTTTGTACAGACAGAGTGGGAGGGAGAGAGAGGAACAGAGAGAGAGGGAAACATCGACGTGAAAGGGACACATCGAGTGGCTGCCACCCGCACGACCAACCAGGGCCGGGGACAAACTGCAACCGAGGTACATGCCCTTAGCGGGAACCGAACCCGGGTCTCTCCAGACCGCAGGCGGACGCTCTAACCGCTGAGCCAAACCGGCCAGGGCAGTATACCAATTATTTTGATTCACAAAGTATGCTTTTTCTGTCCCTTTTATTTATTTATTTTTTTCTGGTACTTTAAAGCAAATCCCAGACATATCATTTCACCCTATATGGGTTTTTCTTATTTACATAACCACAGTGTCATTTTTGCATCTGACAAAATTAACAGTGATTACTTGATGATATAGTACAGGCTGCATACACATTTTCCTAATTGTATTAAAAGTATATTTCACTGTCAATTTGTTTGAATCAAAATCCACACATTTGGTTGTTTGAGGCCATTTGCTTTTTATTAATCAGATTTTTAAGTTCTGATTACCAGTGTCTTAAAAAGGTAGAATTTTATTTTAAAAATATAACAAAACCCACTTTTCTTGCTTCAATAAAGACAAAGCAAAATGTGCTGGAAATAAATGAAATACACAACAGAGTACCTGATGAAAAATTTTCTGCTTCAAATAGAAAAAGCCCTTCTCAAGCATTGCTACTCTAATAACCTATATTCGTTTTTAGTAAAGCCCTTAGTTTTTGGCAGGTCTTAACGAGGATGGCCTGACTTAACTTGTACAAAATAGAATCCTTTACAAAGTGTCATTAATACTAACTTGAAGCAGTACAGATAGATTTTACTGTAAGAAAGCATGAAACTGCCAAAATGTTCACAGTTGAGCTGAGCATACCCGGTTTATTCTTGTCACCTTGCCTAAACCTGAACAGATGGGCAGCTCTTGGTTTCCATGTCTGTGGCTTTTGACTTTTTTTGACCTCTAACTAAACTAAGAAATTTATTTTTTATATCAAGACTTGATCACACACACACACACACAAACACACCTCAAGTAAAAGGTTCTTAAAGCAGTACTCACCTAACGTTTGAAGCACTGTGATATTTCAGTTCAGCCTGTAACCCACTAAATTGATTCCATGAATTGATTTAGAAAATTCTTGACATAGTGCTGAGAAGCATAAGCTTTAGCATCTAAGGGACCAGGATTCAGATATCAGCACTATTAGGTACTAACAGCACATCCATGGAACTCAGTTTAAATGTGCTTTGTATACAGTTTTTTAGGAAATAGTTATTTATGTCAAGGGAAATATAATTGTACTTACTTATACTAATCTCTTAAGGCTTATTTTTTAGATTAATACATAAGTTATCCCACATTAGAAAGTCACTGTTTCCTCACTTAGACCCACACTATTGTGCGGTTTCCCAAGAGAGATGGCCCCAAGTGGCCAGAGTTCTAGAACTGTCTTCTCCCTGCCCATGTTTATGTGACTTCTGCCATGTCAAAGTATAGCTGGGTAAGAGAAATACTGTATGGCTTTCACAAATATATTACTGTGGATGTGTAAAGGGCATTCTTTAAAAAAATTTTTTTTTTCTTTATTGATTTTAGAGAGAGGAAGGGAGAGGGAGTGAGAGATAGAAACATCAATGAGAGAGAACATCTATTGGCCGTCTCCTGCATGCCTCTTACTGGGGATCTGACTGACAACCTGGGCATGTGCTCTGACTGAGAATTGAACTAGGGACCTCTTGGTGCATGGATTGATGCTCAACCACTGAGCAACACCAGCAGGGCTAGGTTCTTAATTAATGTACAGAGGCTATCCAGTGTGTGTGTGTGGGGGGGATCGATCCCTTTGTGGGAAGGTATGGATTTTCTACCCATTTCTGGAATGATATATGCCAAAAATATATTTATATAACATCCACCTTAGTAGTTACTGTGTACCCAGGACAGTGCTTTATAACACTCCTTTCTGAATCCTAGTAAACGACTCTGTGAGTTAAACACTACTGTTAACTCCATTTCACAGATGAGGAAACCAACACAGGATAGTTAACTTGCCCAAGGTCACGAGTGTAGTAAATAACAGAGTTGGGAGTTGAACTGAGGAAGTCTGGCCCCAGAGTCTGGGCTCTTAACCACGTTGTTATTGCTTATAATATAACCTCTACAACAAACTACAAATAGGAAGATTTTTTTTTTTTTAATTGGGGTATAATTGACATATAGTATTATAATGCTTTCAAGTGTATTACATAATGATTTGATATTTGTATATATTGCAAAATGATCACCACAGTAAGTCTAATTAATATCCATCACCATACAGTTATACTTCTTTTCTTGTGATGCATACTTTTAAGATTCACTATCTTAGCAACTTTCAAATATGCACTAGAATTTTATTAACTATAATTGCCATGCTGTACATTACATACCCAGGTCTTACTTATTTTATCTATTTATAAATATTTATTTTTACTTATTTATGTTTATTTGACTTTCTTCACCCATTTTGCCCCTAACGCTGCCTCTGGTAACCACCATCTGTTCTCTGTGTCTCAAAGAGCATTTTTGTTTGCTTAATGACTAGGTGAACACCAGCTATTTTAATCTGTATCCCAACTGATGAGTATGGATTTTTGAAGTTTAAGAATGTTTCGGGAATTTGTCCCAGAACACTATTCATCTCTTCTGTTACAATGCATATCTTAAATGAAAAAATAAAATTATATACATGGGTTAAATGTTTTTATCTTCCGATGGGTAGTTATGAAATCTATATTACTTTTACATAAGTTACACTGGATAAGGAGTCAAAATAATGAGTTCTGATTCTTCTGTTTTCTAGACACACGAGTTGAGACAAGTCACCTACCTTCTCTGCCTTTTTTGCCCATAATATTCCAATTCTAAATGTTTAGGATATTTGGAGGTGCTTTTTAGCAATGTAGGGTGCTCCTTGTTCAAATTATTTGGCAACATTTAGATTATCAAGTAGTGGCTAGATTTGGGGGAAAAAATCAGTCTGTTCATTATTCTGTCTTTAGATTTGGATAAAAAGTATGTCTGTGCATGTGAATTACGCATATAAGCTAAATGTATTCCCAGTATTTAGGAGAGGGCAAAATAAAATGCGAAGTTCAATGTATACCCTAGAGACTATGTTAAAATTATATATTCTTTTTTAAGAAAAGCCGAATGACATTTAAATGACATTTTTCTGTTCTACAGAAACCAAAGGCAAATACCAATGTAATTTGTAAGCGTTGCAAGGTAATGTTGGGAGAGACCGTGTCATCAGGTAAGGAAAAACCAAAATGATTGCTTTATTGTTAAGAAACCAATAGAAGGAAATTTTATAGGATATATATATGAAAGATGACTAATATATGTTTTAGAATTGATACTTTTAAAAATAGAAATGTACTAACATCATCCAATATGCTGAGCACTTTGTGTATTTTGACCTTTTTAAGTACATGGTATTGAGTTTTAAGCATTAAGAAGTTGGGTCATTTTTAATATTTTATATTCTCTTTGTTGATATAAAACAATTATATGAACTTTGTACTGGGGTCTGTCTTAAAGAAGATTGGAGCTTTTTTTTTTTTTTTTTTTTATTGATGCAACTCCTCAATCAGAAGAGTTGATTGCCATGGATGATGGAAAAGTTGCTTCTCTTGGCTGACCTCTGCCTTGGGGCTGTATTTTGGGGTTAGGGGTGGGAGAGAATCTATTGAAATGGAAAAAAACACATTCTGAGTTTTGTACTTTGTTCCTTGTTCTTCCTAATAATGTTAATTATGTTTTATAGAAAGTTTATGTTATACTGCTTTAAAATGTAATAATGAAAATCCCAATAATTAAAATGCATCACTATTAAAGATATAGTTTAAAAATATCTAGAGAGCTACAACAGGCTGTGCTAACTTTATCGGTGATGAATAATTGTTTTTAATACAATTAGTTAGAAGATGAGATTTAAGTGAAGTTGTTGTACTTAAGAGTATTATTTTCTAAATAATCAAAATCTTATAAGTAGTTACTTCCCCCAAGTGGACAGAAACGGAAGAATGAACAGTAGTTTAAGGATGCTAGTAGCCTCAAAGTGTTATTTTTGGAGAATGAAAGCAAGCCCCTTAAGCAACAACTTAAGAAAATGTAAGTTCAGTAAATTAATTTTTTAAAAATTCTTTTTCTTCCTCCCTGAAGTCTAGTCAAAATATCTCTTAAGGAATAAAAAAGACATGAATCTACAGAGACAAAGAGAAGTAGAGAGGAGACAGCAGTGATGTAAACAAGAGGTGTAAGCAAACTTTTTCTGTGGCTGTAAAGCAGAGAGACGCACCTGGAGCAAACTTGGCAATGCGGGGGAAGCTGCAGCCTAGTTTCTGCAGAAGATCATTTGGACAAGGAGTGAGCCAATATTCACTGTGGAACCCCAGAATTGGTCACAATTTGGGGACAGCAGGAACAGGGAAGGCAGTCTGAGGCACACATCTGGAAGCAGGATGATTAATTCAAAGTTTTTTATGGAGCTCTAAGACTCCTGGGTCTCCTCCTCCACTTGCAACTTGCTTATACTCTCAAGCTATGAGATTGGAGAATCCTTTCTTGGAATAATTGAGTAGTACCAACCACAGAAAAGATTTGCAGACACTGATTCTTAGGCATCATTCAACAAAGATGAGCTTATATTCATCCGTCCTATGGTCAACAAGCCTGTATCTACACCCCAAATTACCTTACACTTAAATATGAATGGATTGCTGAGAATCAACAAATCTTTGAGGGAACCTCCAACATGAAAGAGACCAAAACAAATAAGTAATCAAGTATGCATAGTAAAGGCACTGAGAGGAAACAAATTATGTGTAAAACAGAAGAAAATCTTTTAAAAAAAACCATAATAAATGTCTATGGAGAATGAAATAATACTGCCTCCATAAGTTACAGACTACAGAATTAAAGATGTAATGGTTTTGATAAACAAAGGACTGGAAGATAAAAATCAAGGAGCTAATTTAGAAACCAGACCCAACTGACAGACTGAAAGTTGGGAGATAAAGTATAAAATAAAATCTTCATGGAAGTTTCCTGAAGATACAGATATTGTCTATCTCATTTATCACTGTAAATTCACCACTTAGAACATCTAGCACATGATGGGCATCTGGTAATATTTGTTGAATGAATGAATGAATTGAGCCTTTAGGACACTTAATATCTAGATAATAGGAATTCTAGAAAGAGAGAATAGAGACAATAGGGTGTAGAAAATTATCAAAGAAAAAAATACCAAAAACCAATTATAAGGCAGTTTTTCAGAGCTAAGGCTTAAGTTTATCAATAGGAAGAGCTCACTAAGTGTCAAGAATAATTAATGGAAGGATGGCAGGGAAGCTACTCAAAGCCACAACATTGAGTAATTTCTGAACACCAAGGATGAAGTCTCCAGAGAAAAAGCAAGTAGTAGACAAAGGATTAGGAATTAGAATGGCATTTTACTTTTCTTGTGGTGGTGGTTGATCCGCACTCCAGGATATTTTTCTATTGATTTTTAGAGAGAGTGGAAGGGAGGGTGGGAAGGAGATAGAGAGAGAGACATCATGTGAGAGAGAGACACCGATTGGTTGCCTCCCGCATGACCCTGTCCAGGGCCAGGGATTGAACCTGCAATCCAGGTATGTGCCCTTGACCGGAATAAAATCTGTAACCCTTTGGTCGGAGGGCTGAAGCTCTACTGAGCCACACGGGCCAGGGCGAGAATGGCATTGAACTTAACAGCAGTTTTGAAAACTAAAAGACAATGAAGCAATACCTTCATAATTTAGAAGGAAAAAGATTTTCAACCCAGAATTCTATACACAGACAAACCATCAATCAAGTATGAGGATAACAAATACATTTCTGGAAATAACAAAATTTTAAAATATAGATCGCAAAAGTATATTTTCCTTAAGAATCTAGCATAGGGTATTTATCACCCAAACTAGGGATTCACCCTCAAGAGAGGACATGGAATTTGGGAGACAGATTATTCAACACAGCAGAGCAAGGTGAGGAATGCTCAGGGTGAGGGATGTGCAGCAGGCCTAGAGATAACAGCTTGAATTGAATCGAGAGAAGATTGCAGTGAAGACGTTTTCAGTTGTAAGGTGAAACTACATTTTTTTTTATTTGTTTGACCACATGGAGCAAATAATCTTGAGACAAATCACTTTATCATATGGGAACAATTAGCTAAAGGTACTCGGAAAACTAAACTCTTGAAAAAGAAAGCTACTGTGGCCCTGGCTGGTATGTCTAAGTGGTTAGAGTGTTGGCCCTCGGACTGAAGGGCCTCGGGTTTGATTTCCAGTCAAGGGCATGTGCCTGGGTTGCCAGTGCCCCGGCCCCCATCAGGGTTTTGCAGGAGAGGCAACCAATTGATGTGCCTCTCACATTGATATTTCTCTCTTTTTCCCTCTCCCTCCCTCCCTTTCACTCTGTCTAAAAATCAATGGAAAAATATCCTCAGTAGAGTGTTAACAACAACAACAAAGAAAACAATTATGCACTGCAGGATAACAGAGGTTTGAACACGAAAGGAAACATTGCCATGGTATATCATTGGTGTCAATAATTTAAACACAGAACACTGATTTAACCAAAAATTGTCATGATGTAATATATATTAGGAGGTCAATATATGTTGAGTGTGTGTGAGGTAATGTAAGAGAGCTATATTAACACTTACTCTAAAAGTAAATTAGTAGGACTCCACTTCCAAAAAGGTGCTATAAAGAAAAGTTCCATTCTGTAGAAACCAAGCACAAGACTACAAGTTCAAGAAATTGTTAGGAACAGCCACTGGGAGACCAAAATGAAGCATTGATTTGAGAAGTGTTTAGTTATAAGAAACTGCTACTGCTTTTGCTTAGAATGACAAATTTTCACCCTTGTTGCTTTGGGGCATTGCCATTCTCACACTAACTTGGACAGGAAAAATTCAGCTTTATTGTTTACAGAGTAATTTTGGTTCAGGGTAGACAGAGGAAAAACTAGAAATTAAATAGGAAAAATTTGGGAGTAACAAGGCCATAGAAAGGCTGAGATGTTAACTTCTTTTCATGACTCTGGCTGACTGCTAAACTATTATACATGCACGTAATAGATGCCAGAGAGGCCAATAAGAATTGAAAGCTTGGGGAGAGCGGCAAATTTGCTGTGCCTTGAATTGCATTCTTTAATCCACACACATCTTGAGCAGCAGAAGGTGGAATCCTTACTGGCTTGAGGTTTTTGAGCAGAACTTCTTCCCAAATTTGCTGACAGCTAAACTATGCAAATATAGTAACTACTCTATAGTGACCCAGTTTGAATCTAGGCTAAGTAATCTGTAAACCAACAACCCTTAAGAGAAGAAAGACAATCCAGAATTGTTACAATGTATTACATACAGTGTCTTCCTTCCATCTGGAAATCGTAGGTATGCAAAGAAATAGAACAGGGTGATTCATATACAAGATAAAAACAGAACTTAATTAGCAGGTGCTGACTAAGCACAAATATTAGATTTAGCAGATAAAGATATTGAGTAGCTACTATAAATATGGTAAAGAATTTTTAAAAGCCTCCTGAGTGAACTAATGGCAAATCTCAATAAATTAGATACTTAACAGAAAGAACCAACTGATAATTGCAAAGCTGAAAAATACAGCGACTGTAAAGAATTCACTAGATTAGCTAAACCATGTATTTGAGATAATAAGAAAAAATGAATAGACCTCAGATTTGTGGGACAATATTACATTTTTTAATAAATGTGCAATTGTAGTCTCAGAAGGTGAGGAGAAAAACGAAGGTCAGAAAAAAAAATTGTAGAAAAAAATGGCTAAAACCTTGGCAAATTTGGTGGAAAAGATTAACTTTCAGATTCAATTATTGCAATGAATCTCAAATAGAATAAACAAGAAAGAACACTTCATCGAGGCACATTGTAACCAAATGATAACGCTAAAGGTGAAAAGAGAATATTCAAAGTATCAAGAGCAAAACAAAATATCACATGTAGGGGATTTTATGATACAATTGAGGCTGATTTATAGGAATAATGACAGCCAGAAGACAATAAAAAGAGATATTCAAAATGCATGGGTAGGGGGGAGAATACCTGTCAACTAACAATTCTATATCCAGCAAAACTGTCTTTAAAATATGAAGACAAAATGAGGACATTTTCATATAAATAGATGTAAATAATTCATTACTAGCTGACCTTCTCTACAAAAAATGCTCAGGAAAGTTCTTCAGGCTAAA